CTACTATTCTTTACGCCTGAATCATTACTATGTGTCGGATTTATAATTCTGTAACAGCCTCTTAAAGTAGAGGTTCCGAGCTTTAATTCGATGAAAAAATTATCGCCCTACGATGATTCTTCGTAGAGTTATCGTCAGTCAAAGTTGGCCAATTCTTATGCGTAACTTCTATACCCACGAGCTGTGGATCTTGTTGCAATATTAGTAGAATGCGTCGGATTCATAATCCTTAATCAATGTCTGAAGGTAGAGATTCTGAGGTTTAATTTGGAAAAGAAACCATCATCCTAGGATGATCTTTCGCGGAGTTATCGTTAATCAAGGTTGGCCAATTCTTGTCCGAGATTTCTACTTTAATTGCAGCAAACTAAAGTAAAATAATAGTTTGTTCTCTTTCTCAATGTTTTTAATAGGTTGAAAATGATATAACTGCATTCTTAGAGTCTATCTTTCGTATAATCTTTTCATTGAAATCTCTTGAAACAGCATTTTTAAAGTCTTTCCATTGTTTCCTATTCTATCTGCACATTTTTCTTATAAATACGTAAAAAATCTCCAGTTTAATGATCAGTATTGTTAGAAAAAAATTTAAAAGTATAATTTTCAAAACGGTAACCATGATATCTCAAAATCTGCGTAACCATTTGCCTTCGAAAATTATTCATATAAATATGTTCAAAATATAGTCATTTCATATACTAAAACTTTTATAAACGACACATGTCAGTCCCATTTGGGTGCCATAATTGACCAATTAAATATTCTTGATTGGTCTTCATTGAATGTTCTACTAATTCAGAGTTTTTCCAGTGTTTTCGCTGAAGTCGGAAAAACTGCTTGATTAGAGGGAATGAAACGAATAATTTCGTTATAATTTTATGAGACTGTTTTAATACTCGAGAATAAAATGCGCTGCTTTATATTATTTCTATTACACCGCTTTATTACTTGAGAACAGTGCGAGCAATGTAATTGCAGGTTTATTACGTCACTTTGTCACTAGAGAAATAAATGAATAAGTTCGCTTAAAATTTCATCAGGTCGCTCTGTCGCCTGAGAACAGAATCAACAATATTACTTTCATTTGATCATATTAAACCCTCATTCGTTGCAACAAAGGAGGGAAAAAGGTCAGTCATTCGGCATTCGTAGTTATCACTGGGACAATTTGATACCAAGGGAGAAGAAATTAGCTGAGAGAAACCTAGCGCGGTTTCAAGATAGAAAAAAGTTTTTTCTCTCAAGATAAAAAGTGCATCGAGAAACGTGATAGTCGAATTTTCGACACTGGAATTTTCTCAACCGTGGTTCTTCCAGTTTCCAAAGTTTCGGAGATACCGGTTATCTGCCAACAGCAGAGATTCTCTCTTTTATCTGTCTAAAAGTTTCCTTGTTCTTTCAATCCACGACAAAAGGATGGCACGCTTTAAAATTGTGTCATTTTTATTTCTTTAACATTACCATCAAGGTTTTGTTTTTCTACAAAGTTACAAAAATACCCGTATAAACGTACAGAAATGAAATAAATTTTTATTTCAGTCTGCCAGTTTATTCCGTCGCAGTTTATTTCCATAATAATACTATTCTCTTTCAAATAAAACTGTTTGAACTGGTTAAATTCACTCATAGATATTATATTAATACTAGATCATGAACACTAGATTTACGGATTTCGTCAAAATGATTATTCGTATCATAAAGATACATTTATAGGTTATTTGTTCAATTTATATATTTCTTGCGGCAAATGTTACAATAACACTAGTTAAAAATCAGAATAAATGTCTTATTTTTACTTTCATGAACTGATATTGAACAGCTGTTTTTTGTGCCCCGTAAATCTGGTGTTAATACTGCAAAACTAATGTGTACATGAATATTTTAGCTACTGTATTTCGTTTGATAATAGTGACAAGATTGAAAACATTCGAACTTCCTACGATATTTACTGTAAAATGCTGAAGAATATGAAGTTTATCAAAAATGACGAATTTTATCTAAAAATTCCCGTCATAAATATTTTTATAGAAACAGAAATTATAAAAGAAAAAAGTCGGAAACCGTTCATTCTGATTGGTTTGATAGTTTTAATGTCAGACATTAAAATTACAGAGATTCTTTCATAGAACATCATTGAATGAATTTCTTAAGAGGTGTGGGATATGCTATAAAAAGGAAGGAATAAAGTAAAATTTTCTACGATTTTTACTATAAATTCCTCTCGCACGAGGTAATTCCCATGAAGTTTCTCGACATAAACATTTTTAGAGAATTAAAAACCGTAAGAAAAATATCAGAAATTGGTTTAATAGTTCTGGTGTTAAGGACGTTAAAATTATCAAGATTCTTACAAAGGAAATCAGTAAATGAACTTCTCAACGGATATGGAAATTGCGAAATTATAGGATTGCGAAAATTAAGGAATTAAATAAAAAAAAATGGGAGACGTTTCATCCTGGACCCACTTGTTATAACAATAACAACATCGGATTCATTCGAATTTCCTACGATTTTTACTGTAAATTCCTCTCCCACGAGGCAATTGCCATGAAATTTCTCGACATAAACATTTAAAAAAAATCAGAAATTGTAAAAGAAATAAATCAAAAACTGGTTTAATAGTTCTGGTGTTAAGAACGTTGAAATTGCAAAGATTCTTACAAAAGAAATCATTGAATAAACCTCTTAAGGGTATAATAGAAATATAAAATGTGAAAATGGGAAAATAAATTTAAAAAAATTTTAAATTTCAATTTTAAAATTAAAAAAATGTGAGGCGTTTCGTCCCGGACCCGCTAGCGGACTCATCAGTAAGGCTATCCTAGCGGGTCCTGCCTTAGACGCGGATGTATTCGAAAGGACAGGATATAGAGCTTTCTCTGAACAATATCAGACTCCAAGAGGAGGATGGGATGCACGCAATCGCATTATCTACTCGATGACGAAATATGTTCAAGCTGCTGAAGATTCTCTCTTCGAGGTTGTGTTTCTACCGTAGGACACTCGAGCGTGTCGTTTCGTTCGGTATTTTGTCGAGGACATTGACGACGCGGCGGCCGTGTTTGTGTACGCCGCTGTGTTGTCGTCATGTGTTTACTCCTTGGAGACGTCATAGCTTCGTTGCTAACGCGTCGTCGCTTGACAATCGTCGCGGCGAGGCTGTCAATCGCCTTCCAACCATTATATCGAGTCTTAGATACTGCTTTTTCCCTAGCATGGCCCTTTGATAAGTGTTTGTGGTATCGACTTACATCTATCAGGTACTTTGTCTTACATCTAATCAGGTACTATTCAGTTAGTTCGTTTCATGAGGTCCGTCCGACGATCTGTTGGACGTCCGTTGCAGATCCAGGATGTATAAGATCCTGGGTTACGACCAGACGTCTCCGACAGATCGGCGGCGATGGCCACGCTAGGAAAGACATTACGTAATACCGATGGTAACTGCATCCACGCATCCTCCAGGTATTGGTGCATCCGCGCCGTCGTGCGGTAGTCGATGTCGCTTCCAGGTTAGCGTTTGCTCGTCGCCGGTGTTATCAATTTCCACGGCGCTGTAAATGATGGAAATATTGCGGAGAAAGGGAACAGGGAGAAGCGTTTCGTCCTGGTCCCGCTAGTGGACTCATCAGTAAGGCGATCTAGCGGGGCCCTGCCTTAGACGCGGGGATGAGGGAAGGACGACTTCGAATCGTATATATACAAATTGGAGGCGATTGAGTACTTGCGGAAAAAGTATCCATCTGGTGGCTGGCAGTGGAGGTAGTCGCCACAGGGATTATTTATTTTATTGCAAATGTTTCAAAAAGTCGATTATTTTTACACTTTGTCCGATTTTTCTATCGCAAACCACCGCTTTGTGTCGAAGTACGTGAGCACAAAAGTACGCCTACTAGTTCTTACATCTGAATCGGTAGGATGCGTCGAAAGTATAATCCAGAAATAGCATCTGAAAGTAGAGGTTCCAAGCTTTAATTAGGGAAAGAGATCGTCGTCCTAGGATGATTTTTCGCGGAGTTATCGTCGATCAAAGTTGGCCAATTTTTATCCGAAATTTTCTTACGCGCGAACTGCGGATCTGGTTGCAATATTAGTAGGATGCATCTGATTCATAATTCAGAAAGAGCCACTTAAAATAGAAATTCCGTGCTTTAATTTGATGAAAAAATTATCGCCCTACGATGATTCTTCGTGGAGTTATCGTCAGTCAAAGTTGGCCAATTCTAATCCGAAATTTTTCTACGCGCGGACTGCGGAACATGATGCAAAATATAAACTGTTTACCTTAATTGCAACAAACTAAAATAAGATAGTAGCTTGTTTTCTTTCTCAATATTTGTGATAAGTTGATAATAATGTAACAGCATTGAAATCTTTCCAAGAAAAGAATTTTCTTTATAAGAAAAATATAACACAGAAATATAACAAATTCGACAGGAAATATTCGCATCCGTATATTTTTCTTATAAATGCGCAAAATCAAGCAGCCCAACGATCAGTATCGTTACGCAGAATCCTTAAAAGTACGTTTATCAAAACGGTGACCATGAGATCACAAAAATTACTCAATCAATTGACTTGAAAAATTAAATGCACATTTTATATAGTTCAACTTTCTTTAACCCTGGAAGGTGAAGCGAATTCAATATCATTATTTCTATAAAACGACACACGTCACTCGCTTTTGGGTCTCGTAATTGGCCAATTGAGTGTCCTTGATTGGTCAATTGAAGTGACCATGATACAGCATTTCTTGAACACTCGCGAATAAGGCGAACATAATTTTATTCGACTGTTTTATTACACCCGAACGAAGAGATTAAATTCAATATAATTTTATCAGACAGCATTAATACTCGCGAATAATGGACGCGGCTTTATTTTAATATTATAATGTCTCTTTATTACTTGCACACAATGACATACCAGTTTTATTACGTTACTTTGTTACTTGAGAAACGAAATAATAATTTTGAACAATTTTCCATTTTATTGTTTAGTTATTCGGCAGTCGTATTTACCATAGGAACAGTTTGATACCAAGGGAGACATTAGCCGAGAGGAACGAAGCACGGATTCAAGATACAAGAAAGTTTTTCCACGTGGGGTTAAAACTGGATCGAGGAACGTGGTAGTCGAATTTTCTGACACTGGAATTTTCTGAACTGTGGAACTCGTAGTTTCCAAAGTTTTGGAGTTATCTGCCGAGAGCAGCAATTCTTTTCTCAATATTTTTGCAGGTTTCATCGTTCTTCCAGTTCGCGATAAAATGATGACACACTTTAAAATTGAGTGATTTATATTTCTTTGACATCCATCAAAATTTCGTTTTTCTGTTAATATACAGAAGCTCCCGTATTACATGCAGAAACACCTTTATAACATGCACGAATGAAATGAATTTTTAATTCAGTGTGCGCTTTCATTTGGTCGCACTTTATTTCCATAAAAATTCTCTTGTAAAAAATAAAACAAATAAAACTGTTGGGTCTTGTGATATTCACTCGTAGATACTGTGTTAATAATAGACAATAATAGAACAATAATAATAGAACAATAATAGAACAAATGAATATATTAACCCTTTCCACTCGAACCTTCCCGACTTGTGGTATTCCCATTTGAATGACAAAGTACATTTTATGCATATGAAATTGAGTCCTGTGACTCACACAACAGTTAGACTTTTAACAATTCTTTATACGCAAGCTTTGTTATTATAAAAATTATCTTGGAACGTGGTGTAACAATTTTCGTGGTGCCTCGGAGTCACCGCTCGAGTGCAAAGGGTTAACCCTTTGTAGTCAGAATGTATTTGTTCGGGAAGTAAAGCTTTTGATGAAATTCAAAATAATCGAGAGTCATTTTTATTGTAAATATATTCGAGCAAACAAAATTTGACTAGTTTCGAATGTAACGGAGATAAAATACCATCCACTGTGATCAATTTTAACGATCTAGTTTCACTTCCATTAATTAGAAATTGCAATCTCTTTGAAAAAAGTGTAAGTCATTGTAATTATACTGTATGTTCGATTTTCTTCATATATTGTCGAGTGCAAAGGGTTAATAATAAAAGCTAATCGCGATCGTCCGATCATGTTGCACCGAATGATTCGACAAGAATGTCTTCTCTCCGGGATGAAAGTTACTATCGCTTTCGCAGGAAACGTCTCGCGACCAGTTTCCAGTTTTCCAATCCGAAATTACCGCACCGGTTGCGTCGCCATTACCAATCGCGCCAAAAAGATCGCTAGATCTTCCGGTTTCGCAAAGATCCCTATCGTCCCGCAACATCGTTGTGCCCGCTGTTGGCCAACGAGCCGATAGAAATTTCGTAAAAGGCCAATAAGCGGAATCGCCGTAGGCGAAGCGTGTCCAGTCGTCGCCGCGCATTATAATTTCTGTGGACAGAGCGTTGAACGAGCGAACAGGCAAATATGGGATTGTGTTTACCGTTTTCTACCAACAGCAGCACGAACAGGCCCGAAGAACAGGATCTCTAGCGACCGGCAGGACATTTAACGACCGCTGCTGGTTTTCCCGTGTTATTTTCATTACGTTGGTCTCCTAAGACCGAGACCTTGGGAAATAATTACGCTGGCTATTTCACGGACCATCGAGGACGGAAAGAAAGAGGCCCGGCTTCCCGAACAAATTGAGTAATAAATCGCGATAGTTCACCCCTCTCTCTCTCTCTCTCTCTCTGTCTGTCTCTGTCTCTCCAGCTCCGAGTCCCCTTCGCGGAGGTGTGCATTATCGTGCATGCACACGCGCACATCCGTGCAGAGCAAAGCTTCTCGCTGGCAGCGATTCTCGCTCGAATGATTCGAGCAGGTGCGTTAATTGGAAAGTTAAGTATCAGGAAGCGGAGTGTGGGAAAACAAGCCCGCGGTACACAAACTCCGGTAATTGATGTCAGCCAGCGCTGGGCGGCGCGTCGCGTCGAGTCGCGTCTCGTCGCGGACGGATGCTCCCGTTTCGTGTGACCCATTTTTTCACGGGTCTGCCTCGGAACGCTTGGGCGGAGGGGCTGAAGCGGAAGAGGGTGTCTGGCTGAGGGGGTGCTTGAATAATTCGTCCCCCCTTTAGGCTCTTTATTTCCACGCAGAGCCGAGGCGAACCTGTTGGCCGCCGAGACCCGGAGACCGAGAGAGGCCGATTCAGCTCTTTGAGCGCGAACTTCGCGCCGGATTAGGCGAGTCGAGGAGAGACCTCACTCCGGTTTTTCTTCGACGCGACGCGACGCGGCGTGTCGTGTCCATTCAAGACTCGTCGGTCCGGCCCGACCGGCTCGATTACGGAACACCGCTCGTTAGCGTCGAATTAAAATCTACGAGGCCCGGGGCACGCGCCGCGTCCGGATCGATAAAAATAGCCCGGTGACGCGCCAAGGAAATATACCGACGAAAGACTGCTGCTGTCGAAAGCAACGGCCCCCGTCGTCCTGTCATCCGGACGTGGCAGACGTGCGAGCCGCGGCGTTGCGTGCGCAGGATATTACACGGTGTTATTCTACAATCAAATTGTCCTGCCAGTTAACTTCGATAACTGGATTGCGTCGCGATAAGTGCTCGCTTAGGACCACCCGGCAACTGCCGGCAAGTTTCGTCCGCCTCATTGTTAGTCCGTTGCGTGTAGACCTTGTTCCTATTGTTTCGAGTGCGGGCTGCCACTCGAAAACTCTTGTTTCCAAAGCCGCCGCTTAATTATTCCCCCGTAACGCGCCCCGCGGTCGGATCGGTTTTAATTGATTGCTCAAGGCCACTTCCGGCGTTCCGAATACCCCTCTCGGCCCGCCCCGTGTCGTTCCGCCGACTGTGTTCGAAGCGGAAGTTAGAGTATGGACATTGTCGCTCTTGTCTTTGAGCATCTGCTTTCGCTAACTCTCGTTTCATCGTTTGTCTAACTTTAAGCGTCCCTGTTGATGCAAGGATTGTTTCGGAAATTAAAAAGTCGAGAACTTTGAGAGCTTTTAGCAAGGAGAGAGCTTCGAAATTTCCGATGCTCGCAACGATTCCAAAGTGCTCGCCGAAATCCGTTTAGAGAGACGTGCGAATTAATTAAATTATATTAGGTCTGGGAAAAAGTTCGTGGCGTTTTGTTAGCAAAATTCAACTGGATTTCTTATATTGTGAAAATGAATTTATTTCAACCAAATATGCTCCATTATTATCGACAATGTTTCGCCATTTTTCGGGTAGAATCATGATGCCGTCGGTGAAGAATTTCTGCGATTTCTGGTTAAAAAACTGAATCAAGTGGTTTTCACAGGCTTCTTTTGAAGCCAGTTTAATTCCATCGAGATAGTTCTGCAGAGATCGGAACAAGTGATAGTCAGAGGGTGCTATGTCTGGACTATACGGTGGGTGCATCAAAATTTCCCAACCAAACTCTCGCAATTTTTTACGGGTCGTCAAAGAAATGCGTGGTCGGGCGTTGTCGCGATGGAAGACAACACTTTTCCTATTATGCAATTCGGGCCGTTTTTTTTCAATTGCGTGGCGTAATCTCTCCAGTTGTTCACAGTAGAGTTGAGAATTAATCGTCTGACCAACTGGAAGTACCTCATGGTGGACGATTCCCTTCCAGTCCCACCAAACGCACAGCATCACCTTTTTTAGCGTCGATCCTAGCTTCGCGAACGCTTGCGACAGCTCACCCATCTTTTGTTCACGATCTTTGGTGCTTCCAATTGTCGTACGTGATCCATTTTTCATCACCGATTATGACACGTTTCAGAAATGGCTCGATTTAATTACGTTTCAGCAGCGCATCGCAGATGTTGAATCGATTCATCGTATTTTCCGCGCTCGACTCTCGAGGAACCCAAACATTCAGCTTCTGTTTGTATCCAGCTTTGTGTAAATGGTTCGAAACACTTTTGTGGTCAATGCCTAGTTCCATACCAATATCGACACTGCTAATATGCTTATCTNTCTGTTTGTATCCAGCTTTGTGTAAATGGTTCGAAACACTTTTGTGGTCAATGCCTAGTTCCATACCAATATCGACACTGCTAATATGCTTATCTTGCTGGACTTTTTCAACAATTTCATTAGTTTTTTCAGTAATTGGGCGACCAGAGCATGACTCGTCTTTCACATCAAAATTATCAGAACGAAAGCGAGCGAACCATTTTCGCGCAGCTGATTTTGATAATGTACCTTCACCATACATAGCACAAATTTTTTCTCAAGCCTGCGCAGCGTTCTTCCCTTTATCGTAATGATATTGTAAAATATAGCAAAATTTCTCATTATTTCTCTCCATTTTCAAACGCCAACAACTTTCCAAGCACTGCATCACCACGATGTTTATACGCTCAAAATAACGTTCAATGTGTCACCTTTAAATGAAGCGTTTAATGATATTGTTGCAATAAGTTGTTCGTGAGTTATTAACAATTGACGACATCTATCGGGAAAACGCCACGAACTTTTTCCAAGACCCAATATTTATAGATTAGTAAAGTAAACAAAACAAAAGAATGAAAGAATGTAATATGTCTTATTCGATAAATATAAATTTAGCTACCCCCGAAAACAAGCCATAGGCGCCGCAATTGGTCACTGCCACAGTAACCGGCTCCACTACTCCAGTAACTTATTCAGCGATCCATCCCATGTTTTCACGAAGCATACCTATCAGTCCATGAGCTTAGTTCTGAACGAGGTAGCAAACGGAGCAGAAAGATCTAAAAATCTGTGGGACGGGCCGGGAACAAGGTATGCTAATTTCCTTTTCAGAAAAAACTCGATCGCGCAATCCGCCGCGACGGAGCGGGTCCGTTCGCGCGGAGGGGAGCCGGCATAAAATTCTCATAATTCTTGCTCGTCAGCGTGGCGTCGCGCGCAAGAAGAAGGGAAACGGACAGACACCGCGGGACGCGTGGTACCGTAAATTCAGTTCTGTTTCCTCCTCCGTACTCCTCTCTTCTCGGCTCTCTCGCAGCCGTCGGCTTCCCTCGTCGTCGGGAGCCGGGCTGAGGGAAGGCAAAGAGAATTTCACGAATCGAAGCACGACGAATGCACCTTCTTCCTCGGAGGCACAACGGCGTCGCAAGCGACTACGACGACGACTACGACGACGACGACGACGACGACGACGACGACGACGACGACGACTACCACGCAGAAAATCGATAGTCCGCCTCAGCCTCTCTTTGAGAGTTTCTTGCGATCGCTCGTCGAACTCTCACCTCCAACCACCGCACCGTCACCAGCCTCCTGCTCTAACCGCCCCTCCTTTTCCTCCCCATCCTCCGCCACCTCCGTTCCCCACCCCTCATCGACGGCCCCAACTTATCCCTGAGCCAACTTCGATACCTTCAGACTCGATCCATAACGGTTTTTGTCCGAAGTCTCCGACGAGGCAAAATAGTTCGAAACTCCGGGTCATCCATCAAACGAACGCGATTCCCGAGCACCCACCTCCCCTCGAGATTCCTCCACCTACGAGCTTCTATTTACTCCTGGAACGGTCTCGAGGGCTCTCGCAGCGTGCATGCGGCGCGCATAACGGATAAAATCTTGTACAAGGGCCACCGCAGTTTTATGACCATCAACG